CCAGGGATCTATTGAGAGGGCTAGAAATAGCTGAAAGACTAGCCCATCTATGAGACATACTTATAGATGCAAACAACAGGTTGCTGAGTCCAAAGGTAAGGGACTGGAAGAAAGGGGAAATCAGTAGAGGAGATCAATTGTACTGGTATGGCGATCAGTGGAAACTAAACCTGGTGATGAGCAGGCTGTAATATATGTAGATATTGAATTATAATGTACACCTGAAACTTATATAATGTTATAAACCCATATTAATTCAATAAAAATTATTTTTAATTAAAAAAAAAAGACTAGCCCAGTACAATTTCCTTCCCCTGCAACATCAACCACAGCCTAGCTGTTGAAACCTCTCAGGTGAAATTCCTCAGCAGGGGTTCACTGTGCAATTCCTTGCCTGCATATGTGTTGTTCCTAATTATAGGTCTGGCTTTGCCTCCTTAACTAATCTCTAGGCTCTTAAAAAGTGTATTTTTCTTTTTTATTCCCTCACAGTACTGAACATTTAATCTGTGCTCAAGAATCTCTTGTGTGTTGTTTTTTTAATTAAATGTATTGGGGTGATATTGGTTAGTAAGATTATATAGGTTTCAATTGTACCATACTATGATATATCATCGGTATTTGCATTGTGTGCAAAGTCAAGTAGTCTTTCGTCACCATATAATTGACCCCTTTATCCTTTACTACCCTGCTACCCTCTTCCCTCATAATCACCATCCTATTGTCTCTGTTTATGAGTTTTTGTTTGTTTGTCTCATTGTTGCCTATAGAGTTTCTATTTTTTTAATTATCACCCAAGGATATGTTTACTGATTTGAGAGAGAGAGAGAGAGATAAAGGAGGGGGGAGAAACATGTATGTAAGAGAAGAAAATCAATCGGTTGCCTCCTGTACGTACCCCAACCAAGAATCGAACCTGCAATCTATAATATGTATGTGCCCTGACAATGAATCAAGCCCCAACCTTTTGATAAAAGGGACAACACTCCAGCTGACCACCAGGTCAGGGCTGCCTTCAAATTTATATCCCTCATATGAATTATATCATATTATGACTCTTTTAAAAAAAAAATACATTTTATTGATTTTTTCTACAGAGAGGAAGGGAAAGGGATAGAGAACCAGAAACATCGATGAGAGAGAAACATCGATCAGCTGCCTCCTGCACACTCCCCCATGGGGATGTGCTCGAAACCAAGGTACATGCCCTTGACCAGAATTGAGCCTGGGACCCTTCAGTCCTCAGGCCGACTCACTATCCATTGAGCCAAACCGGTTTAGGCTACATCATATGGTTCTTAACTTTTTCTGTCTGATTTATTTCGCTTAGCATGATATTCTTTTTTTTTTTAAATATATGTTTTATTGATTTTTTACAGAGAGGAAGGAAGAGGGATAGTTAGAAACATTGATAAGAGAGAAACATCGATCAGCTGCCTCCTGTACACTCCCTACTGGGGATCTGCTCAAAACCAAGGTACATGCCCTTGACCAGAATTGAACCCAGGACCCTTCAGTCTGCAAGCCAATGCTCTATCCATTGAGCCAAACCGATTTTGGCTAGCATTATATTCTTAAGATCCATTCTACTATTCAGTCATAAGAAAAGATGAGACACAAATGGCAGTGCCAATGTATATATGTACCACCCTTCTACCATTTTGCCTAATCTCATTTCTTTTTTTAAATGCTTTTGCATTGTGTATATAAAGTATTTCAAAGATGTAGAGAAGAGCTAAAAACTATTATGCTAGTTATATATCCAGTACCTGGATTAAACAAATGTTAATATTTTGCCATATTTTCATTAACCCTCTGTTTTGTGTTTCAGTGTTAGAAACACAGAGAAAAACATCCCATTGCTTTAGATTATTTCTAGTTCATTCACATCTCAAGTTTTTAACTACTACATATGTAATTATGTATTGTTATTTTGTTTATTTTAAAATTTTACTTCCCTAGTGGTATTGTATATGCTATATCTTGCTGCACCTTGCTTTTTTCATGAGAGTTTACTTTTGAGATCCATCCCATGTTGATATTTGTAAATCCAGTTCACTCATTTTTGCTCCTAAACAGTAGTCCATTCCCCTTTGGAGGGGCAGTGCAGGAGGCAACTGATCAATGATTCTCTCTCATCGTTGATGTTTCTCTCTCTCCTTCTCTCTTCTTTGAAATCAATAAAAAAATATATATATATTTTTTTAAATGTGAGGGTTCATAGAGTAGCCAAGGAGAGGAGACGGAGTTTTAGGGAAACAAGTCAATTGGAAGTATTATTTTATCTGGAGACCAATGGACCAGAGTAAACTGCATAGATGATACGATGTCAGCATCTGCAACATTCTGTGATTTGTTTACTCCACTCAATTTCCTCAGTCCCTGCTGCCCTCACATTCTGGTTCCATTACACCTGTGTGGCTGCAGGGGTGGTCAGTAGGGTGCTGAACCAAACTGGCAAGGCAAGTATCCACATTCCTATTTTATAAATGTAAGAACTAAGGCTCAGGCAGATTCGCTAACTAACTCAAGATTGCACATCTTGAAAATAGTGAAACCAAGACCAAAGCCTAGGTGTTCTGATTCCTAGTCTAAAGCTCTTTGCATCAAAAAGAATTGTAATTACCTTAAATCTTTCATTCCCAACTTAAAACCTTAAGGAGGTCCTATTTCCCCCCAAGACAATCGTAACTCCTCTGTTTGACTTTTAAGGCCTTCGATCGTTGGCTCTGCTCTCTATTTCAGTCCTATTTCCCAACACTTAGCCACACTCTCACCCCTCCACCCAAAGCATGTCTTGGCTGATTTGTGAATTCATTCCCATCTCTGTGCCTTTGTTTATCCCATTCCCCTCTGTGAGAGAGACTTCCCTTCTTTCTCTATCATCCCTCTGGATCCTGTTTAAGTCTTCTACATCCTCTGATCACTTGGGTGCACACTTTCTGAACTGCCAGTATGAAATGTGACTCTTGAACATTCTCTTGAATTGTCCTCAACTTGTTGCCCTTTGCAACATAATGCAAAGCAAATCCTGCCATTGTGAAATGTGACTCTTGAACATTCTCTTGAATTGTCCTCAACTTGTTGCCCTTTGCAACATAATGCAAAGCAAATCCTGCAAGCAGCTCACTTGCTTTGGTTGTATTGTTTAGTTTTGTTTTGTTTTGTTTTGTTTTGTGTTGTGTTGTTTCTTATATAGGGGTTTTTCAATTATCTTTGACTTAACACTGAACATACATCAGGCCATTCATAAATATTTCATAACTAATGAAATATGGAAGAATTAGAACTAATAGGAAATGCAAAGTATGAAGACTTGGAAATTATGATGCAATCAGTAGTTGAGATGAAAGTCTGTTAGGCATGATAGAAAATTTAAGTGACAAAGTTTTAAGGCAAACTGGTTAAAAAAGATGCAGAGACAGAAATCAGTACCAGGCTGAACCCCATAGCTTTTTCCTGTTATTTCTGTGATGGCTCTGGCTTTTTGGCACTTTGCAAAACAAGGGAAGCAATTTCTATTTACCACTTACCAAATCGACGTTCCCATGCTCAGAAATAATTATCTGCAATTATCTGCAAATGATGATCACATGTGTGCTCATGCAGCCAAAATTTTATTTAGCATTTATGAAATGATGCAAAAGATTGTGTGCATATTCAATTTTCCAAAGTGAATAAGGATCCTGTTGGTGGATATCAAGATATCAAGACAGTCCTGCCCCCTGCCATGCATGTAGTTAGGTACTCATCTGTGCACAAGTAATTAGGTCCTTTGCAGAACAACATATGAACAAACACAAGTTCATATACACTCTATGTAATTCCATGTTGAGGTGATACTGATAAAAAGAAACAAAAAAAATTAGGTGGGAAATTTCCAAAACAAAGTTGGTAAAAACAATTTCATGGAGAAGAAGGGAGAAAGCAGTCTAGTGTGTGCAAGGTCATGGAAGTGGGTTCAACACCTTATCACAGTACATGTGGTAGAGTATGTTGTTGTTATTGTTGTTGTTATTGGTATTAACATTCCCATTTGATAATATAAGATAGTTGGCACAGATAAAATACAGGAGATTTTGAGAACAGTTTATGTTATGAAATACTGAAACTACATATATTTTTAATACATGTGAGTACTCTTAGGTACTTCTTGGACAACAATGAGTAGAAACTAAAATATATTCTTAAAATGCTTACTTCAAATATTGCAAATGACAGGACAAGGAGCCTCCTTATTCCCCTAGAGCACAAAACCAGAAAAGTGGTGGATTTTTTTTCTTTTCATCATTAACAATATTTCCTGAGGGAGAATATAAACTTCCAGCCTGTGCCAGAATTCCACGTTACTACCCAAATTCAAAGATTAAGGGTGTGTATTGCCCACACCCTACATTTTTGGGAACACAAACCCTGCCATTATGTAAGGTCTACTGAGAAGGATAACATGACTCCTCTTCATGGGAGAGTCCGAATTCTAATCCATAATATATTCCCAATGCACTTTGTCCATTAGCCAAAATGACATTAGGTTACACACATCTCGCTCTGTACCTGCTTCTGTAAATGGTAGCACACAAGACAGGAAAAAAAAAATCTCTTGGAATGACCAGTATATTTGTTTCAAGCATCTATACAGAACCATAAAATGGGAAGGATCCAGGAGAAAGGAGTAGCTGGTTTTTAAATATGATATAATTTTCCTCCTAGAGCACTTCTGGGAGCTCAGTACTCTGCTTTATAGTACGGGCCTTTGTTGAGGCTTATATTTCCCACCTGTATTTCTTTCTTTCTTTCTTTTTTTTTTTTTTCCTAGCAACAGTCTGTCTTTGTGCCAACTCCTAAATAACCATAAATTTTGTTCTTATAAACCTTAATGAATGCTTGGCCAAGATGCTGTAACTATTGGCTTCCACATTGGAGCATAAATGGAAAGGGGGCAAGGGGGGAGTGTGCACTGTGAAAAACTGGATAAAATGGAAAAAAGATCACAGCAAACCCAAAGTCGCAATTTGCCTTTAATGTGAAGGAGGCCTTGTTTTCACGGTGTGGCAGCTTTCAGGGGTTTTAATCTCAAAGTGGCTGATCAATTTAAGGTAAGTGGCAGGCATTTGGCCTGGTTCCCAGGCTTTGCTTTGCTGCTCTGAGAAAAGAAAGGATTCAGTCAGACACACAGACAACAGGCATCATCAGCGGCTCCCACATTCCAAGCATTTTAACACAGATTAGGTTGGCATGATTCTACTGTTTACTGAAATCTCCTAGGTGTTGCATTTTTCCTTCTTCTTGGTTATCCGAGATGGTTTTCTCAGGTCAGGACCTTCATATGCCAAATAGCAGGCAGGGCTGGGGGGGGGGGGGGGGGGGGGGAGAAGAGCATGGGTCAAGACTTCAGAGTAAAATGCTATTTTCCTTGCTCCCTGCAAAATATGAGACTTCAGACAGCAGGTAATTGAGCACTGAACTTTTTGCCTTAGGCGTACATTGAGACAGGAACTGTTTTACATGCATTCCTGGGGATGGGGGGAGGGGGGCAAGCGAGATAATTTCTTTAATAAGGACAAACTTAATTCAGCTAGAAATGCTCTATGGATTAACAGGGTGATTTGTAGTTATTTTCTCTTCAGTTTTGGTAAGCACGAGCCGTGCAGATCTGTTGAGCAATATTGTAACCAATATAATCCATTTTTAACTAACATTTTCACATTGAATATTCTTTATTTTTTGAAAAAAAACAGTTACAATCAAACAGATTCTTGACCACTTTGTCATTTTCTTAGCAAAAGTGAATTTTCTTAATCCATTGACCTATAAACTAAGTTAAATAAAATCTGCATTCAGTTGTTCAGACCTGAAAAAAAAATGTATAAGTTGTCTCTCATTGTTTTGGTTCTATCATGCTGTACAGAAATTTTATTTTTAAATATATTTTTATGGTTTTTAGAAGATACTTTATCTTATTTTAATATAGTCAAATTGATCTTTTAATTATCCTTATGACAAATTACTCATTTTTTTCTAGAAATTTTATCAAAATTAATAACTATGGATTTTTAAAATTTTTTATACTTACTCTACCCAGAAATGCTTTCTTAACATTTCATAAATTTACATTAACATATTTCTTCCAAAGCTAACCATTTTGCAATTGAGTAATTTATATTTAAATTATGTATTCTTATCTGTAAGGGTTAGCTTAGAAATGAAGGCAATTATATGTACTTATTTTAACTTCAATTGCTGTATATGCAAATGAAGGCTTTTTTAAAAAATAATATATGACTCCTCATTGATTAAAGAAAAAAAGGAAATTGCCCAGTTGGTGTGGCTAAGTGGTTGAGTGTTAACCTATGAACCAAGAGGTCACAGTTTGGTTCCAGGTCAGGGCACATGCACAGGTTGGAGGCTCAGTTCCCAGTGTGGTGCGTGCAGGAGGCAGTCAATCAATGATTCTCTCTCATCATTGATGTTTCTATTGCCCCCACCCCGCCCCTTCCTCTCTGAAATCAATAAAAACATATTAAAGAAAAAAGGAAACGAATGAGAAGCTGTTAGCAGCCATCCTTCTGCTGCTGCTTGATGTGTCTTGAAGACATGTGATGCATGGGGTGCCTGGAAGTGCAGTAGCCTTTGGCACCCATGACAGAGCCAGCCTAAGAGAACAAGCTAGCATGCTGGGGCTGGGAGACTGGCAGGATGAAGAGAACATGGCTCTGATTGAGCCACAGAACCAGTCATCCTGGAACTACTCTACTCATGACTTATTCTTATATGAGAATAGAGGCCTGGCAGATGAGATTCATACACATAGGTGGGGGGAGAGGTGGTCCTCAGCCTGGCCTGCACCCTCTCACTGTCCAGGACACTTTGGGGGATGTCCACCTGCTGACTTAGGCCTAATTCCTGGGGTCAGACATCCTTCTCACAGTCTAGGACCACTTGCTCCTTACTGCCCGCCTGCAGAGCTCCTGCCTCCACTGCTGAGCTCACCAGCTGTAAGTCTGACTCAGGGCTTCTGGCTAAGTAGTGCTCCCCCTGTGGGAGTGCACTGACCACTAGGGGGCAGCTCCTACATTAATCATATGCCCCCTGGTGGTCAATGCACATCATAGCAACTGGTCATTCTGCCATTCAATTGATTTGCATATTACTCATTTATTATATAGTACTAGGGGCCCGGTGCACAAAATTCGTGCACTGAGGAGGGATCCCTCAGCCCAGCCTGCCCTCTCTCATATACTGGGAGCCCTCAGGGGATGTCCTACTGATGGCTTAGGCCCACTCCCCATTGGGAGCGGAACTAAGACACAATCTGGCCTTCCTTCGCGGGAGGTGACCGGGCTGATCAAGGGAAGGTGCCAGCCCCATCACCCCACTGTTGCAGTCACTGCCAGTCACTGCAGCCACCAAGATATTTTCATCAACATGGACTCCAGTCCCTTCACCATGAAAGAAGGAGAACTTTCTTTAGGCATTTTCAAGATGTGTCTTTCATAGGATATGACATTTCTTTTTTTCTTTTTCTTTTTATCCTCACCTGAGAATATGTTTCCATTGATTTTTCCCCCTTCCCTTCAATCCCAGGCCCTGCCCCTGCCCAAGTCTAAAGCCCCTGCCTGATCGCCCCACCTCTCTGATTGCCAGGTCAGGCCACCCAGGCTTTAGGCTTGGGCAGGGGGCCCCTCTGATCGCAGGCTCAGCCCCTTCCCTCATCCTCGCTCCTCCGAAGGCCAGCTGGGAGTGACCTGGGTGCCTAGGAGGTTCCCAGGACTCTGGGATGTATGCAAATTAACTACCATCTTTGTTGGGTTAATTTGCATACTCTGATTGGCTGTGGGCGTAGTGGAGGTATGGTCAATTTACATGTTTTTTCTATTATTAGGTAAGATAATAAATTCCCTTTTCTTCACTCAACAATATTTATTGAGCAGTTATCCTGTAGGATGCTCTTGGTGCCCTGATCTAGGTTCCTGTAATATTTCAGTGAACAAAATATACAAGATCCCTGCCCTTGTGGAACTAACATTCTAACCAAGAGAGATAATAACCCAAAAACATAAATAAGGAAGTTCTATAGTGTGTAAGGAAGTAGTAAGTGGGAAAATGTAAAAGTAGAGTATGACATAAAGGGTCAGGAGTGAGGGAAGAAGTTTTGGTGTTGACTAGAGTTAAGGGTTGGTCGACCTCACTGAGAAAGTGAGATTTGCACAAATGTTTGAAGGAAATGAAGGAATTATTCTTTTAGCTAATAGGAAGGGTGGGGGATATTTTTATTGTTGTTTGAAGTCCTCTAAATGAGAGAGAGAGGGGTGGAGAGAGATAGGGGTAGGAGGAGAGAGGACTAGCTATGGAATATATCTGGTGCCAATTCCACTTTGGTTCTTCCTAATTCCCAAAATAACTAAAATTAAAAGGTTGACAATACCAAATGTTGTCAACAGGATATAGAGCTGCAAGAAACTCATGCAATGCTGTGGGACTTACTGTAACTACTTTGGAAATGTTGTTGCCAGTGAAGTTAAGCATATGGTCAATCTGTGACTCAGCAATTCAACTCAGGTATAAATTCAAAAGAAATGCATACTCAAAAATAGTTACAAGAATGTTCTTAGTACATTATTCTTACTAACACTAAACTAGAAGCAAACCAAATGCCCATTAATAACAGAATGGATAAATAAAGTGTGATATACATACATAATGGAATACCGTACCACAATGAAGAAAACTATTTCTATGTGTAGCAACATGGATGAATTTTAAAAAGATTCACTACTACTACAGACAGTCCTGACAAACTGTTAGTATTTTAGCTAATACGTTAGGAACTCTTACTATATGCCAGCACCATACTGAGTGCTTGCATTCATTAGCATATTTAAGTCTCCTACCAACGCCAAAAGATAGATATTACTACCTACTTTACATACGAGAAAATAAGTTGAGAAAATAAATTTTCCCAACGTCATTGCATCAATCAGTATACTTCCTTGCATTTAAAGAAACCAAAAGTTTGGTGTAAGCAAGAAAGAATGTATTAAAAGGTTGTTGTACAATATAACTCCCAGAATTGTCGGCATGGCCGGGTGAGGACTCAGCAGTCATGAACGATACCCCAGAGCAAGTCATAGAAAACTAGTGCACAGTGACAGTGGGACCCACTCTGCCAGTTTGGGAAGTAAGACATGGCCACCAGCAGAACCGCCGCTGCTCTGCTGGAGCTTGCTGCACCCTGTCACTGTTGGACCTGCAAGGGTGACTCTCAGTTCCACTGCACCAACCATTCAGAGCATATGATCCACGGCATGGGGCAAAAAACAATAACGTAGGTAGGCATATTTTCTAAAAGCACAAGTCTGGAGGTGACACGCAGGGATTCAAACCCACCCAGTTGGCTTGGTTTCAACACCCTGGGGGCTCAACTTCTATGCTAGACTGAATCCAAAAGCACGGTATTACTTTACCATTTTAAAGACCAGGTGAGCCAATTAAGTATTAAAATGCGCAACAACAGCTTCAAGCCACCATATCATATAAACCAGAAAGCTTCAACAATTTGTTGCTTGACTAATTTAGAAAACAGAATAAAAAAAAAAAAATTGGGCTTCTGAAATCCCCAAGTGCTTTCATGGAAGCAAGAGGGAGGACCTGGTCTGACAGCTCATCCAGAGCCATCACCACACCATGTGACTCAGATGGGTGGTGGAAAAGGGGGGCCAAGTCTGAATCACCAAGACCACATCCTGCCCCTCCCTCATTTTCCCCCCTGGAAGCGACCCATCAACCTTCTTGTTGACATCTCCACCCAGAGCATGGAGCTCAGGTATTTGCAGCAAATGTCTGTGAGCCTAGGAAGTCCCACTTTCCAGCAGCATTTGGCCCTGGTTCTTTCTGTGGCATCTGTGTGTGAAGTTGACTATGACCAAGTGCAAAACTGATAGTTTGTGCATGAAGAATCAGCTCAATTTGGGTTGTTTGTTTATGTTCCACTATATTTTGTGGACACAAACTAACATCACATATACCTACTTACCTTTAACAAACTTTTAAGCTTTTTTAAACTGAAAGAAATTTCTTAAACAATGTCAGCTAGATAATAACTTGAGAGAAATGTGTTCTTTCTGAGAACTGTCCCATAGACACAAATTCATTATAGCCAAAGACTAAGCAGGCATTTTATCCTGCTCTGATTCATCTGAGAAAAACATGTGGTAGACAGTTCAAAATCCTCCCCCATTTACTTTCAAATAAAGAATAAAAAGAAAGGTTGTTTTTTTGCTTTTTGTAAATGCAATTCAGTTAAATTAGTATGTTGGGCTTTTGTTTTGTTTTATCTTATTTGGGGT